GCTGTCTTTTTAAGTAGTTTATTCGGTGAAGTATTGGCTCCAAGATAACTAGTGCCGAGTTGTAACAAATTTCCACAATGCTTGAGTTTTGCAAACGACTCACTGAAGTCGTTGGCGAAGACGTCGGTCGAAGTTTCTCCTTTGTTTGAGGGTTGACTAGTGTTAGCGAGTGGAACACGAGTTTTTCTTATGGACCATATCTTATGAAAAGCGTACAGTTATGCGCATTCAGGCGGATACCGTTCAAGATTAGTCTTCATAAGTTAGGCTATCAGACGTTTCTCCTTATTTCAACCGAAGACGATAGTAGTGAGGCTTACTGTCTGCAACTAATTTACAAGCAACTGGGGCATCATTGTGGTGGTGCTCCAAGGTGATTGCCACAGAATTATGAATACAGAAATACCTTTACAATATTGAAATTGGTGATAACTCTGTATTTTGTGATGATGACTCTGAGAATCTTCGAACCTAATTAGAGATTTTGTATATTCTGGAATGGCCCTGCTTCCGCTCCCTGATGGACTCCTAGAAGTGTACTTTTCTAGTTCGTCAACTACTCTGTAAACTTCTATTGATGTTTAGTGATTGTTACACTAGAGCGATAAGTCATTGTTGAATATTTTACCTAAAGATTTTAGTAGACTGGTCAACTCTTCATGAACAGAGATGAACAAGCAAGTCCATTCTATGTCACCTTGGATTTTGTTTCACTAAAACCCCTTTATAAAAAGCAAACGACGCACCTATATTTTGGATCCCATTTCCTCATATAATGAGTTAGTGCGTGAACCAAAACGACCACTTTAAAGAGGTTTGATTCGCAGGCAACAACAGTGTGCTCTAAACTCACCGATCCAATTTACGGATCCAACAACCACTGACATTCAATCTTGATGGAAAGTAGCTGTTCAGTCGTCTTGATCAACACAACACTCACGCTGTTTGGGGGCGTTTGTAGATCAGTGATCCAAAGCCCACAGCCAATGACAACGTTTCAAACATCAAAATAGCAGATCTTCTTGGTTAGTCGGTGCATTCCTAATGTCGATCACAATAAGCTGTGTGATTAGAAATGAACGCTTCATCCTGAAATCAATTTAATACGTTTTGAGTTGCATCGCATTCACCAGACACTCAATCATCGTACACAGCAATGGAGAGCGAGCACACAGACCATTCCAGTTAATTAACAAGTCGTTTTTATTCAAACAGGGGAAATATAACTTTTTTCGTCAAGCTGTAGTCAAAACCTTTTCCATGAGTTGAAAAGAGACTGTTTGATGGAAGAAATCGAATTTGGTGCTTGACGTCTCACTGCGCATTCAAAGCCCTTCGATGAACGGGTGCCTTGTCAAAGATGAAAACAACTAAATCACTTGGTAGCCACTGACCTGGAGCATCTTAAGAGAAACATATCAAAAATGTCAGGTAATCATTACATGACCTCTATACTTCAAGATATTGGCGACAGATGAACATGCTACTATTGATCACAAAAGTAACACAAACATTATATTACAAGCCCTGACATAAATCAAAGAAGACGCTAGCAGAAATCAAACGTTTACTGTTCCAATTGGCCAATTAAAGTAAACGCAACATTTAACATAATTACGACAGTCGACTGCGCAGTATTCGATCGACATACCTCATTAGTTAGCCACGCATTGTGACATCAATATTTGTATAAAATAAAATGTTTCCACATTCAATGACCTAAGAACATTCCGATTTAGCGGCAGGTTTAAAGTTTGTGCTTCTATACCATTTTAAGATAGCTTTGAGAAACTATAATTTTGATTAAGAAATTAGGTGCGGTGTTTGCATGGTGCACCACACGCTGCTTGGAGAGGGTTTCAAACGATGTGCCCGTATTGTCAAACCATTATGCACATCTCATATACAGGTGTTGACCAAACTCGTGCAACATCACCCTCATTTTGAAAATCCATTTCAACTCTCAATATCATAGTTAAATATATATATATGGCTATAACGAGCGATACTGTTATAAGTAAAACTTCTAAATTTGGCACAAACGGTACATTGTGTTGCATTCACACGTCCTGACATAATAAAAATCATTTAAAAAATACGCCCCCCATTGGTACACCTTTTCCTATAAAGCTTTATCTTACACATTTTAAACGCAGAACCAATAAACTGGATCTTACGTGAATGTTCCCCTACTGTCCCTTTTTACAGTGTACTATTTGTCCATGGGAATTTCCCCTTTTACTGTAATTCACATTGTGTAATAAAAATGTCATCTGTTGATGCTTATTAAGCAACAATACTTATTCCGAGAACGAGTAACCCTTTTTTNTCGACTGCGTTCTGTTTCGTTCAGTTCTGTGGGTTGAACCAGGAATGGGTGAGCCACACGTAAGGTTTGGTTGCTATGCCATTGATGACAGCCAGCCCATTCACCCAGGCTCACTGCAACCTCTCCCACCGAACAAGTATTGTTATTCCAATAGACCCATGATTCTCGTACATAGCTCGGATTGCACCGTAAGCCCAAAACTCGTCCCTGGTTAATTATGACCAGTGGTCAGCTTTGACTACTGAGCTATCGTCAATGTTAGAGCAACTACGAGCA